AGTGAACAAGAACGAATTAAATACTTGGCAACTTTATCATTAACAGAAAGACGAGAATTAGAAGCCTTGCTCAAAAAGAACATTACCACAAAGCGTACAATCATTGAAGGAGGAGGTTATACAACAACAACGTCATCATCCAGTGCTACCTCGCAAGCCAGTCAAGTCGCTCTCTTAGCGTCAATGAGTGAACAAGAACGAATTAAATACTTGGCAACTTTATCATTAACAGAAAGACGAGAATTAGAAGCCTTGCTAAAAAACAACACTACCACCATCAAGCAGACCACCACCACTACATATTACGACGATGATCCAAATATACCTGGACCAGAACGTGTTGAAGTCACCACAACAGAAGATATCACCACGGATGCAGAGACAAAGATAATAACTCCCGAATCGGAAGATTTGGAGACTACTGGTGCGACTGAGACTTTTATTACCACCAGCAGTGGAAGTGGTGGTGAAATGACGACGACAACGACGACAACTAAAACGAAAAAGAAAGAGAAGAAGGGAGGTCTTTTCGGATCGAAATAATTATATTTAATTATTTTATAATAATACAGTCAAAGTTGGATATTAAATCTTGCTATAACGATAAAATTCCTATTGACAACATATAAAATTTTTGTTCATAATAACGATAATCTTAGTATAACATCCATCTTTGACTAATCATGGTTAATAATCCAATTATTAATTTTCCATTTTTATTTAATATCGGCGGTTCTTTTATGGTTAATCGGATTGAATTGAATTGAATTGGACTTATTCCTAAATTTAATGTAAAAATTCACCACAAAATCAATCCAATTTGTCCGATTATTATTAGATTTTCATTCCGAGTAGATTTTTTAGATAGAAAACTATACGACCTACTTTTTTACTTGATTTTTTTAGGACTAGAAGGTGTGTAATGGTAATAGTACGTAATAATAGTATTTTGTAAGTAAAATTTCTAGTGTAAAAATTGATTGACTTAAAAAACCAAGTTATGCTGATTCCAACGATAAAATTAATCGTTATATCTCATCGTTTTTCCCACGAGTACAAAATAAAGTAGAGGTAGCACAATTACATCATCACGAATACGCCAAATTTGAATTTCAATTAATTGACCAGCAGACTGTCAGTCACACAAACAAACCAGTATATATATATATAAATGTGAAGGATACGCCAATACTAACATTACTTATAAGTCAGAGATAGGATTCATCTGTTCCTTTTTCTTGTCTGTTACACGACTAGAAAAGAAAGGGAATTACCGTTTTATAATTACTAAAAACTATATTAACAATATGGTCATGTTAAAGCAACTTTTCATCTTGTCTGCCTTTCTATTGTTGCTCACAAGTGCCTCCCCACCAGTCTTGGTAGAAAAAGAAACGTTCGAAACTTTTGAATCTCACAGTTACCTACTATCCTTTTTCTCTCGGAATCCAACCATAAGTGATTGCAGCAACGACAATGATATTCTTCAAATAGAATACATTAAAATTAATCCCGACCCACCAAAAAAAGGCAAATCTTTGGAAATTAATGCGCGCGGATATTTGACCGAAAGGGTGGACGTGGGTAGCTACGTGGATATAACGGTGAAATTGGGATTGATCAAGTTGCTGAGTCAGCGAATGGATCTGTGTGAACAAGTAGAAAAAGTCGATAAAAAGTGTCCGTTGGAGGCTGGACCGCAGACTTTGCAAAAGACAGTGGAGTTGCCGAAAGAGATTCCTCCGGTTTGTATTTTTGTTTTGTTGATGATGATGACGATGATTAATTTAATTTATCACTTTATCATTTTTAATGACGATTTTGAATTTATTTTTGATTAGGGTAAATATTTTGTTGACGCTTTTGTTTATACAAGCGATCACCGTCGTATTGCCTGTCTCAAAGCTCAAACTTTCTTTGGACCTATTTAATTCAATCTATATCATTCAATCTATATCATTCTTTGATGTACACCATTAATAATATTATTACTACTACTACTACTACTACTACTACACTTTATTTGTTTTTTTGTTTTCTCTTCAGAGACTGGGTATTCAACAGGTTAATTTGTATGATTTATAATAGGAATCATTCGTTTTTTGATATTATTTTTTGGATCAAGAACTTTGTGCTACGAATAGAACAGTTGAAGAATTTCCAATTTTTGGGGACTTAATAAATTAATAGAGGCGTATGCATCGTAAAACTTATTTTATACATTTGCGTTTAAACTTATTTATCATTAATTATGTGTCATCCATTATTCTGATCCTTCCAAGTACTGTGAGTATCGTCCCTTGGAGATTGGTATCTGGCAAATTATCCGTTTAAGTATGACCGTTTGCAGTTCGCGTTGATCTTGATTCTTCCTTCCGTTCTTGCCCAACAGGCAGTTACGAATTAGTTATTAATTCTATCCGAGAATTATTTCTATTATCAATAAGCGATACAAAAGAATAGCAAACCATGCGATAGATCACTTTTCTACCATTACATCTCAAGACGCTCTCGTCATCCAATGAACCTCTTTAGACGCAAATTCGGGTGACATCAGTATCAGCCCATAATTATAAGAATACGCGTATCATCTTTTATCCAATAGTTAACGAGCGCGTCTCATTGACGCAAATCCTGGTAACTATTACTCATCAAGTGTATGAGAACTTTTTGGTTCATTCATCTTATTACTTCGTTGCCTTTGTCGATAGAGTTTAAGAATAATGTTTATCTTTCGAAAAATTCTACTAATGAACTTGCAGCTTTCCGATCCAGTAAAAATTACGTTATTGATTTCGATTACGGCCTGCTCTTCGAGCTCATTAAGAACGATAAATGCGAAAGCTACAAATCGATTCCTAAATATTACGTGATAACCCAGAAAGAAAAAAAGTTTTATCGCTTTTCAGCCCACTTTACATACCTAAACAAAAATAACTAATGTATCACATTTCAAATTAAATTTAAAGAATTCAGCATTCTCTGCTTCATCCTGACCATTTCACACTTATATCATTTATTTTATACATAAGTGCAACCAAGCAGGTGCTTTAAAAAAGGATAAATTGCAACATTTTTTAGAATTATTTAAGAGTGCTCAAGTTTTATATAGTTCTGCATATGGTTCCGAAAAAAAAGTCTGGTTCGATTCGAAAAATCGAACCCAATTAAAAGTCTGGTTCGAGTTCAAGTAAATGTTCGATGAAGCTCTAAGTAAAGTTGTAGATCTTAATCAGAGCTACAAATTGGTATAAGATAGTTAATATTTAGGATGAATATTCAAAAAGTTATATAGGTTTTAAAAAATATTTTTAATTATTATAATTTTAATCCACTTTATTTATGGTATAACAAACATTTATTTTGCTATAGTAACTATAAATTATGATTATAAGTAAAGTTGTAGCTAGAAATAAGAGCCACAAATTGATATAAGATAATTGCTATCAATAATAATTATTTGAAGAGTTATATAGTATTTATGATCAAATTTAATAAATGTAAAAATAAAAATATATTAGTTATCATTATATAAACTTTTACTTCTCACTAAATACCATAAATTACACTTTTAATTAAAGTTATAGCTCATGTCTAGAGCTACAAATCAGTATATAATATTGTATACCAATTTCTAATTGAACTTGAACCAGACTCAAACTTGTATAATGATTCAGTTTGAGTCCAGTTCAAACTTTGAACTTTTCTTGAACTTAAATCAAAGTTCAATTTGGATTTGGAATCAGACTCAAATTCAAATAAAAGTTTGGTTCAGTTCAATTCATAGAAATAGTTCTGTACCATTCAGTTTAGTTCATAAGAATACTAGTTCTATATTGTTCAATAAAAAAGAGAAGCTACAAAAGTAAAATAATAACAAAACTGAATAAGTAGCTTTTTGCAATAGTATAGATATTGTTACTATTAGTAGTCTTATAGATAAAGATTTTTATTATACATTAAGAAATTTTTATATCTGATTATAATTTATTATTATCTAATAATTGACTATGATCGATTATTAATAATTAATTATAATTGATTGCAAACAGATATAATTAATGATTATTAAAATCAAATACAGTTTTCTCTCTATATAAAAACACATTATATAAGAATATCTCTCTATAAGAACACAATTTTAAGAACTGAATAATTAATATTGATAATAAAAATAATCTCTTTATAAGAATAATTCTCTATAAAAATTAATTTTTATGACCTAATGTTATAATCAATTCTTAATGGATGTTATTATAATATAGGTATTCAACCAATATCTAATAATAGTAATTTTATAGTTACTCAATCTCATCATAATCAGTATACTTTGAGATTATTATAATATAGGTATTCAACCAATATCTAATAATAGTAATTTTATAGTTACTCGATCTCATTATAATCAGTATACTTTGAGATTATTATATAGTATATTTTTTTCTATCTGTTGGATAAGTTCTCACTATTACTAATAGATATTATGTTTACTTAGTATGGGACAGTCCTATAGTAATATAATACAGTCAAATTCTTCTATAGTTATCATCCTTAAGAAAGCAAAATTTGGTAACTATAGAAAGAATGTGACTATAAAGTGATTTTTTTACTATATTTATATATAAATAGGAAAAAAAATAGAGTGACTATAAAGATGTATAACTATAAATAGGTATGACTATAGAGAGATTTGACTATACTAATATTTTATAGTAACTTGACAGTTATTCAATAGTGTATAATAAATATAAGTAATTAATATAAGATTATTATTTTTTTTAAAATTAATTAATGCACAAATTTTATTAACAATAAATAATGAACAGTTTATTGACTAGCTAGATTTTTGTAGTGATCAATTGATATCTTTCTTTTAAACTTCAATTACACTTTATTTATATTAAATATTTTTTATTAATAAATATTATATTATCAGATAATTATGTATTTATCATTAATATTATAACTATAATATATATAATAGATAATATATATATTATTATATAATAAACTTTAATCGAATATTATACTGGATCATTCATACTTAATATTATTGAATTATAAATATCTTATATCTTATTTAAAGAATCTAATCATGTGAGATAAGCAAATAAATACATCAGGAAATTCAGGAGATAACAGATCTGTGATAATCTGTAAATATGCAGATCGTCACAGTTTTTTTTGATCAAATTAACAAAAATCTGCAAAGAACTGCGAAAATGCAGATTTTGATCAAAAAAAGCTACAATAATCTGCATATTTACAGATCACTGCAGATTTGTTTATTTATTATTGTGATCAATAAACAATAAATACACAACACGTGCTAATTTTTAAATTTTACAAAACTTCTTTGAAGTCTGTCAATG